AATCTTTCCATGCAAGAGAGGCAGCAGGATGCCTGAACATACCATCATCAATTTGTTCCTATTTATGCCATCTCATAAGTTTCGCCATTTTTGATGACATAAACAATTTCTACAACCTTGGCTTTAGAGGAAAATATCTCATTTGTTTTGCTGCTTTTCGTTTACCATGCCTTTTACCATTATTTGGTTTCTATCTAGAACTCTTGCAAACAACACATTCATCAAAAGTTGCATAATTGTTCCGAAACAACATATAACTATTGGGGCATGCATCCCAAGTCTCATAAGTAAAGCCCAAATCGTTAGTTAATTTCTGAGCCTCATAGTATGAACTTGGAAGTTTTGCACCTACAGGAAAGGCCTCATTCAACAACTCAAGTAACATGTCAATTGATTTGTCTGTCCACTTATTAAGCACCTTCATATGCAAAAGTCTAACAACAAATGACAATAATGAGAATTTCTTACAGCTCAGATACAATTCACTTTGTGCATCCTCCAAAGTTTGAAATACTTTTAAGTTTCTTTATTTGGTCCTGTTCGGGGATCATGTGCAGTTTGATAATCATTCTCAACACTTGTACATACATGTTGATTCCGTAGAGTGTCGTTTATCATTCTGACCATATCATCCCCAACATTTAAATCCATCAAAGTTTCAATATTCACATTTTCACGAAAAGAAACGTATGATTCTTCATGATTTGTCCAATTTTTATACTTCTTAAAGAAACCATTACTATAAAGATGATCCTTTACCAAAATTATAGCGATTCTCACAACTTCTACAAGGAGGGCTAATGAATGAACCATCAAGCCCATCGGTGTATGCAAACTCAAGGAAACTATCAATCCCTTTCAAGTAGTCTCTTGACATCCTAGTTGGTAAATCAATCCAACTCTTATCCATTGTCTTACTTTTCTGAACTTTTCCTGTGAAAATTACATCACAATACTTAGTCATCACAATAATAAATGATATTTGACATCGTTTGTATGGAAGAAATTATTAGTATTTTTTTTTAATTTATAAATGCATGTTCAAACAAAGAGTGAGTACAGTTAGGTTTTAATAAAAATAATGATATATTAATTGAACAAAGATTACATTGAAGTACCTTTAATTACACAAATAATACTAACACATTATTCTAGTGCAAAATTCTATGTAGAAATTTTGTAGAATGCCATTTCTTTTCTAAAATTAAAAAGAGAAATGCTATAAAACCACAATTCACCCATAATGAAATGAGTTAGCTTTGGAGCATCTCCGTCAAATTAGTTAATTTTTTTGTTATGTTTTAGCTTAAATGTCAGTTTTTTTTTTTGGTATTTTGGTTATGTAATTTTTAACACATCATCCGACAAACTCTATATTCATGCCATTATGGGTACATTAGAAGACTTTTCAGAGTTCTCATTCTTTTTTTCTTTTTCTTTTTTCCAATTAAAAAATAGAAATAAATAGTTAACTACACATTCAACAAGTACTATATTAGTTTAAGACAATTAAAAAATTACCTCCTAACATATGAAAGTTCAACAGTTGGCCATTACACAACCCATTTAGAAGAAAGGGGAGGGGAAAAAAAAATCCTAAAAGCATAATTTACACATAAAAAGAACACATATTTTTATCTTTATTAAATAAAGAATTGTAATTCTATGGTCTTTTTTGGATAAATAAGGTTCATCAGTATACACTGTAATATTTACATATGCACATATTTATTAGTGGCATTGTAAATAATAATCTAAATTTTCTTTTGAAATTTAGTTGATATATTTGATGATCACTATTTTCTAATTTATTTTATAGTGACAAAACATGGATAAGCTTTTTTAAACTACATAATAGATGACTAGAGTCTCATTTTTTCAATGACCAAGCATTGATGCTTGTGTTATTTCTTTCTTCAGTAAGCAAATTTTAGCCAGATGTGTACCGCATACTTTTTTGTGAGATTTTCTTCAGAACAGGAAAAACATGCTAACAACTTTCAAGAAGAATACAATGTCATCTTTCATAGTAAAGCCAATTAATTATAGATTATATATACACCATTAATCCCTAAAATATAGATACAAAGTATTTCTCATATAATATTGTGTTTTTTTTTTTTCTTTTCTTTCACAGAGGTCAATTTTACCATTCTCAAGTTTGGTTCCACAGAAACCCCAAAAAAAAAAAAAAAAAAAGCACTAAGGCGAAAGAAAACAAATTGAACACTAAAATCATCTACTCTTTCAGTTTAACATTTCAAAATCAGTGTGGGATCTTTGGTTTCATATTTGACAGAGGAAAATGATAGAGAAGAAGAAAGAAATTAAGGGACACCGAGAGAGAGAGAGAGAGAATGAGTTGAGTTTAAGGAGAAATCGAAGAGAATAAGAAATTGATCTGAAAGAAATGGTAGAATAGAGAAATAGAAAGTGAGGGAGACTGAAATTTACGTTTTATATATGCCTATGAGGGAGATTTCATAATCTGGCTTTGGGCCGTGGTAATGACCGGGCTAAAAAGAGGTCCGACCGTGTTTGTGCCGAGCTAACGTTGACTGAGCTAGAGTGGATTGCTCGGTTGAGGTCCGAGGCCCATTCGGCCGAGATAATCGTCTGTCAACCCAGGCTTATTGTTCGCGCATGTAGCTTGGCAGAAAGGTCTCTCACGGACCAGCCTAACCTGTCTGGAGCTCGGCCGTACTGGAATGCTACAGAGCTCGATTATGATGGAGCTCGGCGAGTGACACTGTTGGACTCGTTAAGTAGCTCAGTCGAAGGAGGCCGGGGTGATGCCGCCGGGCTGCCGAGTTCTAGCTAATGTTGTCTGGCGGTTTGGTTAGGTGGTGTTCGCTGGATTTGTGCTAACAGATGGGAGAGCAACTCCACGTGTAAAGAGACTAATGGGTGCAAAGTTGAGCGCAGAAAGTATATAAGTATGACTGCGCCCCCCATGTCGTGGATGGAACATCTTCTGGTGAGAACAGCCTAGACACAAAACTCTCTCCTCTCTCTCTAGATCTCTGAGTATGTGCTAACTTGACCATCGGAGTGGTTTCCGACAACACACCGTCGGGTAGCTCACCGCCGTTGTGCTTTCAGGTTGATCGGATAGACACGGAGCTTGGATGAAAGGAGTACGGACAGTGACGAATATTTGCTCCCCGTACAATGCCCTAAGACTATTTGATGATCAAGAAAGAGAGAGAGAGAAATTCCTTAGCAGAGAAGGATCTGCGGGAGGAAACTTCGAAGAATCTTTCAATGTTTTGGACTAATTCATATATATATATATATAGAGAGAGAGAGAGAGAGAGAGAGAGAGTACTTATTCTCAGGAGGAGGACACTTGATGGGTCGGTGGAGATGGAGATTCGGTGGTGCCAGTGGCAAGTTACTTGCTGGTTGATAGAATTTAGGGCAAACAGAGAAAGGAATAAAACAATAGATGAAGAGTTACCTGCCGTTTTAAATTTTTTTATTACTTTTGTCACTTTTTGCGATGAAAAACAATGTGGATGCAAAATAACCTGAAATACGTGCAAGAAAGAGGCGCACGAGGGAACCTTTGGAGCAAAAAAAATTGAATAAAAAATTAGATAATTTTTTTGAGACGACAAAAATCTTACCGACGCAACTAATATATTTTTAAGACGGTATAATCTTTTGACTTGAATAATTAATAGCCACTAAATTTTTTTGGAGACAGTCGTATTTTACTAATGCTAATAACCCATTTTTGAATTGGCAAGTGTTCCTGTCACAAATAATTTGACTCATATAGTCTCTTTTTGTGTAATGTTTGGATTATGGGTTAAAATTGGTAATTTGATTATTTTATTGATGAAGTCATCTAAAATGACCTAAGGGGTATTCACAGAATAGAGGAGCTGTTATACGATTAGAAACTTCAAGAAGTGTAGTGCAATTATTATTATTATTTTTATTTATAAAAAGAAGAAGTATAGTATAATTGCCCAACATGAAAGGGAATCTATAATACGATTTGAAACCTCAGTATAATTGCCCAAACATAGAGAAGGAACTTACGTTCCGTTTGTTTTCAGAGATATAGAATGGAGAGGATTGATAGTGAAGGGATTGTTAGTGAGGAGATTGATAGTAATGGGATTAATAGTAAGGAATTGTTAAATTATTTTTATATAAAATAATAAAATAGATAAAAAAAATATAAAAAATTAAACATTATATTTTAAAAAAAATTCCCAATATATAAAAAATAAAAAAAATTCTAATCTCCTCACTATTTTTCTAATACCATCTCTATCTTCTTCTTACCAATCCCCCTTCCTCCTCCTTACTAATACAAAGGGATTACTAATCTCCTTCATATCTCTCAAAACAAACACCACATTCTCAATCCCCTCCTCACTGCCAAACCCAATCCCCTTCCTATAATCCCAAACAAACGATAACCCCAAACAAACGGGACCTATAGTAAAGGCAAATCTTAGGTGTTGTAGGTATAATTTACTTTTTTGAATGAATTCTTTTATATTTTGATTATTATTTATTATTATTATTTTGAGTACTTTCTAGATTTAAAAAAAAAAATTGTGAAAAAAATTGTTTTTGAATATAATATTGTTTTTAAATAAATAACTTAACATTGATGAAAAAAGAACATGGATTTTTCAGAGGGAAAACAGCTGTCACGTGTGAGAACATCAAACATCATAATTCATAAGCTGACAAAGAGAGATATGAGTGGATGAGCCGACTTAGAAGCCAAGCCGAAGCCCAAACGAAGCCAAAGCCGTAGCCGTGTTTGAAGCTATAAAATCAGTTGGGTTGGAACTTCATGCCTTTCAACTGCTTAAAGTTAGTTGAGTCCATGAAACTGTACTCTCCAGAATATCTAACGGTCAACTCCTACCAGCCCCCACTCACTAGAGAGTAAAAAGTGAGATGAGATGAACTCTCTCTGAGTTGCTTTCTTTGTTTTATATCCTTAAATCAAGCAGACCCCACCTCTCTCTCTCTCTCTCTGGTCTTTCTCTCTCTAAAAACAAGCACCATAGTTTTGGCCCATAAAACAAACCCATTTGATAGCCAAAACCCAGAACTACCATGGGCGTGGACATGTCGAATCCTCCAACTTCTCGTACCAAAGACTTCTTTGCCTCTCCTGCTCTCTCTCTCAGTCTCGTATATTCCTATCTCTCTCTCTCTCTCTTTCTCTTCTACTTATTCATTTAACAATTCTGTTTATTTGTTTTTATTTCACAATTTTTTTGTTTTTGGGTGAAAAGGCTGGGATTTTTCGAGATGGGGCGGCGGCGGCAGCGGCTGCGAATATGGAGGTGGAGGAGGGAGAAGAGGGAAGTGTAGGAGGTGGCGGCGGAGCAAGAGGGAGGAGAGAGGATACGGTGGAGATTAGCAGTGAGAATTCGGGACATGCAAGGTCACGCTCCGATGAAGATTTCGACGGCGACGGTGACCATGACGACGACGGAGACGGCGGCGACGGCGACGGAGACGGCGGCGATGGGAACAAGAAAAAGAAGAGAAAGAAGTATCATAGGCACACCGCCGAGCAAATCAGAGAAATGGAAGCGTGAGTTCTCTCTTTTTCTTTTGATTAATTACATTAAGACCCTTAACTATTAGTAAATATCATCATATTGACCCTCAACTAAAAAACATCTTTTACATACACTGCTTTTGAATTGGTACAGAGGGTGAAAATGATATATTTTTATAATTAAATAATCAAAATGTATCAATTCATAAATAATTGTGGGGTGTTAGTGTAATTAACTTTTTTTTTTTTACGCATTGGTTAGAAAAATGTTGGTAGTTGGGTACAGTGGGTCGACTCAGAACCACGCCGAGTTGGCTCGTTCCAAATGAGGCGTGAACTCAGTAAACTGGGGTTCTGATTCTGGGTTTTGAGGATTTAGGTCTCTTTGGGTATGAACTAATCCATGACATTCATCACTAACTCGGAGAATGAACTCAGTTAGACTCATCTGACAGCTAGCCTTAAAAAGAAACAAACCAAACCCTTTATCTTATATGTACGTATAATAAAGCACTGACTGAAAAAGATTCATAGGCTTTTTAGTCAAAAAATCAAAAAATTATTAAATTAGTCAAAAAGTCAATAATTCATATCAAAAAGTCAAATATTCTCTTTTCTCTCTACTTTTAGCATATCTTTTCATAAAAAGTCAAAAAGTCATCCCAAACATACTAGTTTTTTTTAGCTCATATGTTAGTCAAATAGCCAAAAAGTTACTAAATTAGCCTGTTCCCAAACGAGGCCTTAGTAATAAATGAGTCAGCTTCAGAGTCCAGACACAGATTAGAAAGTAAAGCTATATCTTAAAAGAAAAATGTTTGGGGGCCCTAATTCTGTGGCTCAAATGTGGCTCAAATGGCCAAAACGACGTTGTTTTGGCCATTTTGATGTTGTTTTGTACTCAAAACGACGTCGTTTTGGCCATTTGAGCCACATTTGAGCCACAGAATTTGGGCCCTCTACCATTGCTCATCTTAAAAAGTTGTTTTCTTTTAAAAATGTATTTAGAATATGCTAAGATGGTGATAGAACAGTAAAATATAGAGAGGAAGCTTTACTGAATTCATACATAAATTATTTGTTCTTCACCTGCTTTGTTTAACATTTCATTTGTTGTCTCATTATGAATTGAAACTTTTTTTGTGGTCCCATTAATTCAAAGGGTGATTTGTTACAACATTAAGGCTTGTTGTTTGGCCATGTTAACTAAAAAGCAATTCGTTTGACAAATGACTTTTTTAGTTAAAAAGTCAAAAAGTTACTAAAAAATTAAAAAACCAACAACCTATATTAAAAAGTCAAAGATTCTCTTTTCTCTATACTTTTTGCATATCTTTTCGTAAAAAGCTAAAAAGTCATCTCAAACATTCTAGTTTTTTTTACATCATATTTTAACAAAAAAGTCAAAAAGTTACTAAAAACGCATGTTCCCAAACGAGGAAAGGCGATTTGGTACAACAATAGGGCTTGTTAGTGGCAGTAGACTCTGCCAATTCAATAAATGAAAATAGCATCTCTAAAAGTGGGAGTAAGGTTTGTTTGGGTAGTATGAATTCTGATAAAGTATTGAACACTAATCTCTCAGTTGCAAATCAAATTTCGCGGTAAGTTGGTAGGGGTTGTACTCTTGTCCTAAGTGGGAGTTTGGGAGATTTGTCTCTCAACTTGAATTCTATGGTAATGTGTTTGGATTGGATAACGAGTTATCAAAAAATAATTTACTCTTTCATACATAATTTGTGTTCTTCACTTGCTTTGTTTGACATTTCACTTGTCGTCTCATTATGAATTGAAACGTTTTCCGGCCCTATTAATTAAAAAGGCGATTTGGTACAAAAATAAGGCTTGTCGTTTGCCCATGTTAATTAAAAGGTGATTCTCCATATTAATTGAAAAGGGTTTGGTACACCAATAAGGCTCGTCGGTGGTGGTAGACTCAGCCAATTCAATAAATGAAAATAGTATCTGTAAAAGTGGGAGTAAGGTTTGTTGAGTAGTATGGATTCTGATAAGTATTGAACACTAATCACTCAATTGCAAATCCAATTTCATGGTAAGTTGGCAGGGGTTGCACTGCCCCTCTTGCCCAAGGTGGGGGTTTGGGCGGTTTGCCCCTCGACTAGAATTCTATAGTAATAGTATTTTAATAGTTCCATACTTGTGACTTATAATCCTAATGATGGTTTTAAATAATAGTATAGTAATACGTATCAGTATTGGTGATGCAGTCATATATATCAGCCAGTATCAGACAACATCAATTGATATATCAGTGAATAATGTTGGCAAAAAGCTAAAATCCTGTTATGTAACAACCGATATTTAAAATCCTGGTCTTAATACTATGTATATGTGGCTGGGGCATATGCAATTTTTTTTTATTTTTTTTTTATTTTTTTTTTATCATAGTAGAACTGTAGTGACCGTGGATGTAGGTGATTTACTTAAATCTTGCATTTTTGTATATGATGCAATTTACAATTTCTTTGTTATTGTTTTTCTTTGTAATTTACAATTTGTTTGTCATTCAAGTCTCATTGATCTTGGTTAGGTGTTTAGAAAATCCTAAAACATTAGAGAAAGTTTTACCCTTTCATACATGAATTGTGTTTTTCAGCACTTGCTTAACATTTCACTTGTTGTCATTATGAAATGAACCTTTTTCTGGCCATATTAATTATAAAGGATGATTTGGCCCAATTGTAAATCTTGTCATTACTGCATCAAGTTGCGTGATTCAAGTTATAGAAACGGTTATGTAAAAATGAGAGTAAGGTTTGTTGATTAATATGGATCTTAATAAGTATTGAATGCTAATCGCTTGACCATGAATCCAACTTCACGGTAAATTGTACATTTAGTTTGAGTGAAGTTTCACTTTGGTTATCGTAGTTTCAATTTGAACCCTACCCTTTCAAATTTGTTGCAATGTGGTCCCTCCATCATGCGTCAACATTTTGAAAAAAAAAAAAAAATACATACAAAACTAGAGAGATGAAAGTGAAATTCAACAGAATTTATAAGGATGTTGTCCCTCTAATTTTGTAGATGGTCTTTTTTGGTTTAAAATTCTAACAGTAAGTGATAGAGTGATAACATTGTAACAAAAAAATAAAATAAAATTGAACATGTAGTGTTTAAATGGAAATTACAAGAACTAAAGTTATACTTTGTTTAAATTACAAGGACTAATAGTGCAATTTACCCTTTGGTATTTTTGCCCTTGTGACTTGTAGTCCTAATATTATCTATATGTAATTGGGATGGCGGCTGTCTAAATCTCGTTTGTTACTTTTTATGATTATGGTGGAAGTATAACCACACTGAGAGCATGGGCATAATCTTTAGCATTGGTTCAAACCTCATAAATCTTGTGTACTTATGTATGCATGTGATTTACAATTCCTGTTTATTGTTTTCTTTGTTTTTTTTTATGTTTCACATATGGTTGTTAGGTGTTCAACAATTCGTAACAAGATAATGTACATCTTTTCCTTCTAGACTCCAATTTAGCGTAAGTTTCATGCCTTGAGTCAAATCTTTTTGAATGTTCTTCTTACATGAATATGGATAAATTTATGGCAGGTTGTTTAAAGAATCACCACACCCTGATGAGAAACAAAGGCAACAACTGAGCAAGCAATTAGGCCTTGCCCCTAGACAAGTCAAATTCTGGTTTCAAAATCGTCGAACACAAATCAAGGTATCATAAAATTCCAAAGTAATTAATTATTAGCTCTAAGTTTTGATAAGTATTCTTCAGATCATTGGATTGTTTTTAGTTTTTGAAGAAACAGTAGTTGTTTTTTTTGGGTAGGTCAACAGTAGTTGTTTGTGTTGAATTTCACATATAATTGCACTTTTAAGTGGCTGGAAATGGGGATGGGTATGGCAGGCTATACAAGAACGCCATGAGAATTCGTTGTTGAAAACAGAAATGGAGAAACTCCGCGATGAAACTAAGAGCTTGAGGGAAACAATTAAGAAGGCTGCTTGTTCTAATTGTGGGTTTGCTACCTCTAGCAAAGATGCATCTGTAGCAACTGAGGAACAACAACTAAGAATTGAAAATGCCAGACTCAAGGCCGAGGTAATTAACTTGAAAAAAACTCACTCTAGAACAATAAACATATATATATATATATATATATTTTTGTGGCTTTTGCAAAAGTAAAAACGAATAACATATTTGGTACCCACTTGTTTTCATAATAAATGAAAACAAAAGCAAGAAAACATATTTAGTATGTTGTTGGAGGAGACAATGGCCAAGGTTTGCTAGGTGCAGGGGCAGAACTACAAATTATGTGACTTATGATTTATGAAGAGCAAAATGTAATTTCTAAAATTTTGAACTATTAATGATATCATTTCGTTGGTTGATAATATCTAGAAAACAAAAAAGTATGCATACCTCTTTGATTTTAAAAATAAAAAGATAAAAATACGTGGTATGCACATCTTATATAAATAAATCAATTAGATTCTATTGACATTAATTAGCATGCAAAACAGTTAAAAATCATCTCATTATATATTAGAAAAATTATTTTAAAAAATTTAGGAGGCAATCCCTCGTCCATTACAGGAGGGCGGAGTCAGGGACAGAGCCACTGGCACCCCTCAACTTTCTGATGACCACTATTGATATCTTTGTGTCTCACACAAAAATCCTTTATCTAGTTGTAATCAAGTATAGTTAATTGTGAATTATGAGGGAAAAAAAAGCATACATATTTGAATATTTTTTGATCATTTGATTTTTTTCAAAGAGGTAAATCTCAGGGTTATTTGATTTCATTTGGGGTTCATAAGAAGGAGATGAAGTAGAATGTATAGTAGATTTGGTGCGGGTTCATTTTTTCAGTCTGATTTTTTTTGTTGCAATTCTAGAGCGTAGCTTTGTTAGATATTTTGTGAATTGTTTATCGTGTAAAAACCAGTCATCCAACATTTTTGTTCACCAATTGAACACGGTTGGGCTGTTGGCTAAAGATTACACTCTTTTTTCTTTATTAACCGCCACCTTCGTTGACCATTTTATACACATTGCAAATTTTTTTTTTCTTTTTCAAAATTTGAATATGTTTGATGGAATTGAGTTGACATTATTAAATTGTTAATTGTCTGTAGAAATTGATCAATGATCGTTGCTTATTTGTTAAAATTGATCCTTTTGAATATTTTTACTAAGATTGAATTGTAATTGTGGGATTATGTAGCCAAATAGAACTAAAATTAATTTTTTTTGTTGTTGAAAAAATTCATCAAGAATGGTGTTGTAGTATATTATATACTACAGTACTATAGAATCCAGCCCATATGCGAACCATTGAAGGGGATGAAGAGAAAGGAATGCAAGAGGGAATACCAACTTGGCATCCCATTGGATGAAATCCTAGTTTCGCCACTGGGGAAAAGTTTCCAGGAGGGAATGAAATATATTTTCATACGTGGAAAAAATGTATTTTTATAACGAATTTTGAAAATTTCAATCCCATTTTTTGACAATGAAAACAATTAAACCTAGTTTACAACTGTCAAAAAATTAAAAACAAAAAATAGAAAACATGAAACAAAAACATTATCAGGCAAACTTGAAGGTATTGTTTAAGTTTTGGCTAATATGTTCTCATACCTTGAAACTTTTGGCCTGGTGATATGTAGATTGAAAAACTTCGAGTAGCTGTGGGAAAATGCCCTCCTGGAACATCACCATCGAACTCCTCTTGTTCTGCATCCGGAAATGACCAAGAGAACAGAAGCTCTTTAGACTTTTACTCTGGTATTTTTGGGCTTGAGAAGTCGAGAATTATGGAGATTGTCAATCAAGCCATGGAAGAGCTTAAAAAGATGGCCTCTGCTGGGGACCCGCTTTGGATTCGTAGTGTTGAGACTGGTCGTGAGATACTTAATTATGATGAATACATGAGAGAGTTTTCTGTTGATAATTCTAGCAATGGGCGCCCAAAAAGGTCTATTGAGGCCTCGAGAGAGACTAGTATTGTGTTTGTGGATCTTCCCCGGCTTGTTCAGAGTTTCATGGATGTGGTAAGATAAAAGGAACTACGAATTTTGCCCGTTTATACTGTATTTGAGTGACAGAAGAAGGCAAATTTTATGAATCAACTCCTTTATAACATACAAAAAAAATATTTAATGTTTTTTTTTCCTTTCTTTTTTCTTTTTCTTTTTCTTTTTTTTTTTTTTTTGGTTGCAGAATCAATGGAAGGAGATGTTTCCATGCATGATATCGAAAGCAGCTACTGTCGATGTTATCTCCAATGGAGAAGGTCCCAACAAGAGTGGCGTTGTTCAATTGGTGAGTAACTTTCACAATCTTTCTTATTGTCTCTAATATGCATTGTCCATCTGTGAGAGAGAGAGAAAGAGAGCCAATAATTGTGTGATTTTCACTTCCGAAAGTTATAAATCTTACAAAATATATAATATATATATATACCCAAAAATGATGAGATAACAACATTTTTTGAAGTTAAAAATCAATCTTGATGGGTGTTTTGCGTTAAAATGAAATGTCCAACTCAGTCATATCATTCTGTATAGTTTTAGTGATAGAATTTTGGTTGGCCATACAGTCAGTATATGTGGTACCATCATGGTCAAATGTATGAGTTTTTAGCAGTATCAAATCACCTTGATGAGCTTAAAAGATCTTAAAATTCTCCCTGGAATGAGGAGTTAAAAAATAACAATAAGAGACGGCAAAAAATGTAGTTTGAAATTTTGAGATGGCTCAAGATTAAAAATAAGAATCCATTTGAGAGGGCTGTGAGTTGTATATTAGGTTCTCACCTTTGTATTGGTTGCAGATGTTTGCAGAGCTGCAAATGCTCACACCAATGGTGCCAACCAGAGAAGTTTATTTTGTCCGATTTTGCAAGCAACTGAGTGCTGATCAGTGGGCAATTGTTGACGTATCTGTTGACAAAGTTGAAGACAACATTGATGCATCCCTTGTAAAATGCAGAAAACGTCCTTCTGGTTGCATCATTGAGGATAAATCAAACGGCCACTGTAAGGTAAACCATATGTTCATAAATTCAATATACAATTAATTTCTCTTTTGAAATTTCTGATGCGATTTTCCTTATGTTCATAAAATTTTTCACACATATGAGCCTGAGCAAACAACGTTAATGGTCCTCAGGTGGTTTGGGTAGAACATTTGGAATGTCAGAGAAGTATTGTTCCAACCATGTACCGTTCGATAGTTAATAGTGGTATAGCCTTTGGTGCAAGGCATTGGATTGCAACATTACAGCAGCAATGTGAGCGGCTTGTGTTTTCCATGGCTACAAATGTTCCAACTAAAGATTCAAATGGTAAGCCCACAAAACGTCTTTGTTCAAAAAAACAATCATATTTAATAACACATGTAATTCATTATCACTACTGAACTTTAGGTGTAGCAACATTGGCGGGGAGGAAAAGCATTTTGAAGTTGGCACAAAGAATGACATGGAGCTTTTGTCGTGCTATTGGAGCCTCAAGCTACCATACATGGACCAAGGTATCGACTAAAACAGGTGATGACATAAGGGTGGCTTCTAGGAAGAACTTAAATGACCCGGGAGAACCCCTTGGGGTGATCATGTGTGCAGTTTCATCCGTATGGTTGCCCGTGTCTCACCATGTTCTGTTCGATTTCATCAGAGACGAAGCCCGTCGAAACGAGGTTTGGCTACTTTATCTTCTATAGACACAAAATACCTATTAACGATGGCTAAATATAGTTTTGATGAGTTTGGTTGTGTGTATTTTAGTGGGATATCATGTCAAATGGAGGTCCAGTACAATCCATTGCGAACTTGGCCAAAGGACAGGATCGAGGCAATGCAGTCACTGTCCAAGTGAGTACTCTGTCAATACGACAAATGAAGCATAAACTACCTCATCCATGTATGGTTCTATTGTTCCAAACTAAAATTCTAACTTAAATTGGCTTTTAATTATTTCAGACGATGAAGTCGAAAGAGAACAGTATGTGGATACTACAAGATAGCTGTACCAATGCCTATGAATCTATGGTGGTCTACGCTCCAGTGGACATCACTGGAATGCAGTCGGTGATGACAGGTTGTGATGCCAGCAACATTGCCGTATTGCCTTCGGGTTTCTCAATTCTTCCAGACGGGTTGGAGTCAAGGCCTATGGTGATCACTTCTCGACCAGAGGAGAAAAGCACAGAAGGAGGATCATTGCTTACCATAGCATTCCAAATCCTCATCAATACCTCTCCCACAGCCAAAATAACTATGGAGTCTGTGGAGTCTGTCAACACTCTAATATCATGCACGGTGCGAAACATAAAGACAAGCTTGCAGTGTGAAGATGGTTGATTGTCATTAGTTTTTTTAGAGATTGATAGGGAGACTAACTAATTGTAAAGTTCATAGATTTAAGGTTTTCTTAATTAATTTTTTATTTCCCGAGCAATGTTTTTTTTGGATCTTCTTTTTGTTTTATTTTCAGTTGTTTTGGGAATCATATTTGGAGATTAAAATTTTTAAAAAAGAAAAAGAAAAGATTTTTATTGATAAATCTCATTTAGAAGTGTTCTAACCCATGAAGTCTATGAAAGAATTTTTTAACCTACTTAGTTCATGTATTTATATTTTTATTCTATAAAGTCTTTTTTCTTAATTTACACTATTTTCTTAAACTCTTATATCCTTATATTTAATATTGATATTTAATGTCGAGGGAGGAGAGAGAAGGGAAAGGACCAAGGCATAGGAAATTTCATACACAAATTAAACAATATCGATGTTATTATTTTATATTATTATATAATGTGAGTATATTTTTAATTGACAACAAATTAAAAATAATGTGAACATTCTCTCTCATCTGATGTGAATATATTTTTAGTTGACAATACATTAAAAATAATGTGAACATTCTCTCTTATTTGATGTGAATGTTCACAACACCTTTCAAAAAAATTCTCTCTTATTTATTGTAGTAATGTGAACGTTCGCAATATGTGAACAGTCTCTCTCATCTAATGTAGTGATGTGAATGTTCACATTCGTTGTTTTAGTTTGAATATTCACATCATGTAATTGACAACACAATGACAAAAATTCATTTCAAATTAATGTAAATATAGTGATATGAATATTCACATTATGTAATTGACAACACAATGATAAAAAATTATTTCAAATTAATATGAATATAATTACAGTCAACATCCTGATGTATGGAAACTACCAAAACGTAATGACAATTAACATTAAATATCAACATTAATAGGGGTCAGGAGAGATTGAGAGTGTTTTGGTATTCTTACCTCAAATAAAATTTAATAGAATAGTTAAAAAGAATATGAGTTTGATGGAATAAAACTCTTAGAAAGATGATTTATCAAAAAAGCTCAAAATAAACTTCTTTACAACAAAACATGTGAAAAACAAGAAGAGTTTCTTATTTTATTCCATTCATCAACAAAGTATATATATACAACTGTATGGTAATAGATTGCATATGGTAAACTTATTCACAGCCAATTACACCATAATTACAGGAAACTAAGGTAGGCAAAACTAGGTCCTAATTACATAATTATCGCAACACTTCCCCTCAAGTTGGTGCATAACATCACATATGCCCAACTTGCCAACAAGCTTTGAAAACAACATATTTGATACCACTTTGGTAAGGACATCCGCCAGTTTATCCTCTGATCGAATCTTCGGCAATTCTATAATCTTTGGTTCCAACTTTTCCTTTATAAAAAATATGTCCACCTTTACATGCTTTGTTCTGTCATGTTAAACTGGATTGTGGGCGATATCGCATGTGGCCTTGTTGTCACAATACAGTTGAATCGCTCATCTCAACGGATATCCTAAATCATGTAAGAGGTATTTCAACCATAATACCTCACAAATCCCAAGTGCCATACCACGATACTCGACTTTTGCGCTTAAGCGCACAACAACATTCTGCTTTTTACTTTTCTAAGTAACAAGATTACTACCCACAAAGGTGAAATAACATGAGGTGGATCGCCTGTCATCTATTGACCCAGCCCAATCAGCATCATTATATGCTTCAACCTTTTGATGATCAATACTCTTGGAAAACAAGATTCATTTTCTAGGAGCAGACTTCAAATACTTCAAAATTCGCATTACTGCACTCATATGTTGTTCTCTAGGATTATGTATGAATTGGCTAACAATGCTTAGGGCATAGATAAGGTTTAGTCTTGTGTGTGCCATGTACATCAATCTTCCTACAAGTCGCTGGTATCTCCTTTTATCAGCCGATACTTGATTCGAATCAATACACAACTTCAACCCTTTCTCTATTGGAGTATCTATTGGTTGACATGTTGACATCCCAGTTTCCCGCAACAAGTCTAGGATATTGTAACAATCCCGACATTGACACAAAAGATTTGTGAAAGATTTTTCAAAACTAGCCATGCCATTGACACAGTTGACATAGAAAAATGTACCATTTGAATGGAATGACCAACGAAAGACAGCCTTCCAAGAACTGAAAATAAGACTTGTAACGGCACCAATCTTGACCTTGCCTAACGGAACCGATGGGTTTCAAATTTACAGTGATGCATCTTATAAGGGTTTAGATTGTGTGCTAATGCAAAATAGGAAGGTGATTGCTTATGCGTCTCGGCAACTTCGTCTTCATGAAAAGAATTACCCGACTCATAATCTTGAACTGGCAGCCGTGGTGTTTGCTTTAAAAATTTGGCGGCATTATCTGTATGGTGTGACTTGCGAGGTGTACACCAATCATAAAAGTTTGAATTATTTCTTTACCCAAAAAGAACAAAACATGAGACAAAGAAGATGGCTGGAATTAATCAAAGATTGTGATCTACGGATTTTATATCATCCAGGAAAAGCTAACACTGTAGCAGATGCCTTAAGCCGAAAATCAATGAGAAATTTGTCATGTTTGCTCACTGGTCAAGAAGAATTGCTATGTGATTTGGAAAAGAATGAGATTAAAGTTGTATTGCGAGAACAAGGTGGAACCTTAGCTGCTATCTCTTCCCAACCTACAATCATTGAAGAAATCAACGAGAAGTAACTTGAAGATGAGTTCCTGAAAAAGATTGTAGATGAAATTGACTTAAAACCAAGGCCCGGGTTTATACTTGAGAGCAATGTACTGAAATTTTAGAATCACCTTTGTGTACCAGATTGTTGTGACTTGAGAAAACATGTTATGTCTGAAGCTCACAATACTAAGTTTGCTATGCATCCAGGGAACACAAAGATGTATCATGACTTGAAACAAAATTTCTGGTGGCTTGGAATGAAAAGTGTATTGCAGATTTTGTGGCTAGATGTTTACATTGCCAACAAGTTAAACCCGAACATCAACGACCCGCTGGTTTATTACAGCCACTTCCAATACCGGAGTGGAAATAGGAGCACATTACCATGGACTTCATCGTGGGATTGCCTCGCTCTTCTCGAGGTATGGATTTTATCTGGGTTATAGTTAATCATTTGACTAAATCTGCCCATTTTCTGCCTATTAAAACTATTTATAATGCGGACAAGTTAGCTAACATATATGTGAAGGAAATTATGATATTACATGGTGTACCAGTATCTATTGTATCTAACAGAGATTCAAAGTTTACATCAAGATTCTGGCAAAGTTTGCAACAGGCTTTGGGAACCGAATTACGATTGAGTAGCGCCTACCATCCACAGATAGACGGTCAATCCGAAAGAACCAATCAGACTTTGGAAGATATGCTACGGATGTGTGTGTTGGACTTCCAAGGGAATTGGGAGACCTACCTTCCTTTAGCCGAGTTTGTGTACAATAATAGCTACCATTCAAGTATTGGGATGACTCCTTATGAAGCTCTCTATGGAAGAAAATGTCGTTCTCCTATTTGTTGGGCAGAAGTAGGTGACAGGCCATTGTTGGGCCCAGAACTTGTGCAAGAAACGACTGAGAAAGTGAATCTGATTCAGCAACGTTTGAAAACTACACAAGGCTGCCAAAAGAGTTATGCCAATGTCCGAAGAAGAGACAGGGAATATGAAGTTGGGGATCATGTGTTTATCAATGTAACTCCGATGAAAAGCCAAACACGGTTTGGAGTGAAAGGCAAGTTAGCACCAAGATATGTTGGACCATATAAAGTGCTAGAGAAAATCAATTCAGTAACATATCGGGTAGCCTTGCCCCCAATCATGGAAAATATGCACAATGTTTTTCACGTATCTATGCTTCGAGAGTATTTAAGAGATCCATTCCATGCCATTGAACCAACACATGTGCTTTTGAAAGATGACTACACCTATGAGGAGAGGCCAATACAGATTGTTAATCGTAGAATCAAAAGACTAGGGAACAAAGAAATCCCATTGGTAAAGGTTAATTGGCAGAATCATGGAGGAACTTATGCAACCTGAGAGACGGAAGAAGACATGATGAGAAGATATCCTTAGTTGTTCCCTTTGAATCCGATGTTCTTCCAGAATGAAAGTAACTAGAGTTTGGAGGACCAAACTCTTTAAGGGGGGAAGACTGTAACAATCCCGACCCATAATTAACGTTAATCCATACTTAATTATTCTTAACAAGAAATTAAGAAGAAATCCTGAGTTAATTACATGTGCATTGCATTATTTTGTGTTGTAACAAGCCCGCGGGGGGACCTCGCTACAGCTCGGACTCGACTTTTCGTAGTCACGGTTCTAAATCTGAACCAAAGAGTCCAAATCCGGCAAATCGTTTTAGGAAAACTGATTTTTGAAAGAAGTGCCAAACATGGACTGCTTTGCCAGATAACGTTAATCCATACTTAATTATGCTTAACAAGAAATTAAGAAGAAATCCTGAGTTAATTACATGTGCATTGCATTATTTTGTGTTTATATCTATTTAACACAGATAGATTTGTTCATACTTTTATTTCGGTCTGCGAATTAAAGGCCTTATCGGCATCTGATTCAAAAATTGACTTGATTTATGCGTTAACTGAAATTTTAGAATTTTATGGTGAGTTTAATTGAAATTCAATTTGGAGCAATTAAATTAGAGTAATTAGTGCTTAATTAAGACTAATTAATGAATTCCTTGAATACAAGCCTAAGTCATTAGTGGACTCTTATAAGCACCCATACACTCTTATTTCATTCTTTTTGAGCTACAAACATGAGGAAAAGGAGAGAGACCAAAGGTGGGAGTGAGTTCAACAAGGGAGAAGGGGTGACTTGCTAGGAATTGTTTGAAACTTGAGGAGAGTTTAGAATTGAACCTCTACACTTGTGAATCCAAACTACAAGGTAAGAATTCAAGCCTTAGGTCTTGCTTTGAGTTGGTAAGTTCATAAACACAAGAGAATTATGTTGATTAATGTAACATAGATAGATTTGTTCATGCTTTTATTTCGATCTGCGAATTAAAGGCCTTATCGGCATTCGATTCAAAAATTGACTTGATTTATGCGTTAATTGAAATTTTAGAATTTTATGGTGAGTTTAATTGAAATTCAATTTGGAGCAATTAAATTAGAGTAATTAGTGCTCAATTAAGACTAATTAATGAATTCCTTGAATCCAAGCCTAAGGCATTAGTGGACTCTTATAAGCACCCATACACTCTTATTTCATTCTTTTTGAGCTACAAACATGAGGAAAAGGAGAGAGACCAAAGGTGGGAGTGAGTTCAACAAGGGAGAAGGGGTGACTTGCTAGGAATTGTTGGAAACTTGAGGAGAGTTTAGAATTGAACCTCTACACTTGTGAATCCAAACTATAAGGTAAGAATTCAAGCCTTAGGTCTTGCTTTGAGTTGGTAAGTTCATAAACACAAGAGAATTATGTTGATTAATGTAAGAATTCAAGAGAATTAGAAGTTTAAGCATGAGAATCAAGCTAAAATTTGAGAATTGTAACTCATATCATGCATGCATGCATATTTTTTCATGTTTTGAGTCTAATTTCCAAGAATTCCCTCATGCATGTCTTGAATTCACCTTAATTTTGGGAAATCATCAAGTTTCATGTTGTTTTGTAGCATTTGATCATGTTTTGAGCAGATTGAGTTTAAAGGAATTCATGCATGTCATGTTCATGGAACATTCATAAACTTCAAGTTGAATTTTGCACAATTGGCAAGCTATTGGGCCATGATTTCTTGAAATGATCCTAAATTCATGATGTTTTATGAGTTTCTAAGTGTTTCCTCAAGTTTTGGCCCAGAAAAACCAAGTTTTGAAGCTTTAAGTTTAAGTTTTGAACTTTGGAAGCAAATCTAGAAATTCTAGAATTTTGCCTCTAAGCTCGAGCGTAGGAATCCACGCTCGAGCGACCACTCTGAGTGCGTGCACTTCCGCTCGAGCGACCTAAAGTATGCCTGAGCGTGAAATGCAAGCCCCTAGAAGTTCTTATGTTTTGCAGCACGCTCGAGCGACAAAAGTCATGCTCGAGCGAGGGTCTGAGTCTCACGTTCGAACGGGGATCGAGCATCTGTCGAGCATGAAAAACAAACAACCAGTACTTTTTCAAAGTTTGTAGACCGCTCGAGCGAATGAAGTTACGCTTGAGCGAACCCTCACAGTTTGCATGTCTGCTCGAGCAAGGAAAGCCACGCTTGAGCGTGGACCCTGTTTTCAGCAAGTTTTGAAACATGTTTTCAAGTACATTTTTGCATTTTCATTCCATCTTAGGTATTCCTAAGCCATGATTAAGACACCATAATGAGGTTAATGAAGTAGAAACCCATCAAAACAAGAAGGGACTAAGTTATCATTTCCGGGTGTGTGATTCAGTATATGTTCGTTCTGTAATCGTGTAGGTCACGTGCCACAAGGAAGTTGAATTGCCTACTCTGTTTGTCTACTTGCAGCATCTGTTATCCGTGAGTAATAACTTAGTAAAGCTATGTTCAAGTTAAATTATTTTCTGCAAATGAAATAAGATCCATTCTATTAAATGTTATGTTTTATACTATGAATGATTATCCAACTTTGGCAAATATTTGTAACATTAATGCTATGATTTAAGTATGCTATCTGTACCTGGACCAGAGGTTTCTTATGGAACTGACAAGTTATCTGCACCCGACTGAAGGTTCTTTTAACAAGTTATCCGTTCCCAGTTCCCAGTTTGGAGGTTTCTTTATGGAACTGGCAAGTTATCCGTACTCGGCCGGAGGTTCCCTTATGGAACTAACAAGTATGACCTATGATGCTCTGTATATGATTTGTCAGCGCTAACGGATGCACCATATAAGATGAAACATGAACTTTGATTTTTATACACATGTTCAGAATGAGAATACGAATGTGAACTTTGGTTTCAGACATGGTTATGGGTCGTCATTCATTTACCCCTTTACTTTGTTATTATTCACTGGGCCTCCGCTCACTAGTTATTTATTATGTATGTAGGTGAGGAGGCTCGTGATCAGGCTTAAGATGATGCCTGAAGCATTTTTGTGTTTGTTAGCCACCCTTTTTGCGCCTCACGAGGAGGTTTTAGATCAAGTCATGTTTTGTGGCTGTGTTAATATGGATGTATAAGACTGTTCCTTTTGCTCCATGGACAAGTTTTTCTTTTATATGTATAGGAAGTGACGTGTAAATACTGTACCTTTTGATGTCACTCGTATGTTAATAAAAGTTTAAGATTGTCAATCTCATGTATGTCTGTACAGCTCGATAGACTATGTATATTTCTTTTATGTAATTACTTCCGCAGCCCCTAATTACAAGTCTAATTGTTAAGAGGCCTTCAGTAATCCAAGGATTATTGGCCCATTACGATGCTAAACCTATAGGAGCGGGTTTGGGTCGTGACAGATATACTTTCTCTTAGACAGGAAAATTCCTTTAGCAGATTGAGATACTTCCATCCCATGAAAATATTTCAATGAACCAAGATCTTTCATTTCAAATTCTTTGGATAAGTAACTCTGTAGCGCCTTTCTTTCTTCATGATCATTTCCTATAACCACCATAGCATTTATATATACAATAAGTCCAGCAATCTTACCTTGCTGTTGTTTCAAAAACAAAGTATGATATGCGTTGCTCTGTCTGTATCCAAAGTACCACATAGACTTTGTAAATCTTCCAAACTAGACTCTCGGAGATTGTTTTAATCCATATAACAACTTCTTCGAATTACACACCTTTCTTTGATGTTTTCCCAATCTTGGTAGAAGGCATTCAAATGGGAAATCTATATAGATTTCTTCTGTCAAGTCACCATGCAGGAAGGCATTCTTCACATTAGATATTTGTAATGGCCAATTCAGATTCACAGCTAAAGACAATAGAACTCGAACAGTATTGATTTTAGCCACAGGTGCAAAAGTCTCTATGTAGTCAATCTCATATGTTTGAGTATACCCCTTCGTCACCAGTCGAGCCTTGAATAGTTCGATGGTACCATCTCCTTTGTACTTTACGGTATAGACCCATCGATACCCAACTGGTTTCTTCCCTGATGGAAGATCAACAAGTTCCTAAGTTTTGTTCTTCTGCAAGGACTTCATTTCTTCATTCATCATTGCTTTCCACCTTGGGTTGGCTAAAGCTTCCCGTACATTATTAGGAATAGATACAATAGATGATTGATTCACAAATGACTTATTTGATTCAGACAAGCGATGGTTTGACACATAATGACTCATGGGATACTTAGTCTTGCTAGTAAGATCAGGTTCATACATAGGTTTAGGCATACCTCTATTACTATGAGGAGGATTATGCCTTCTGGGAGAGTTCAGTATTGACTCAGGAGCATCCTCAACGAGCGATTGGTTAGGTGTGTCAGGTTTCAGTAAGAAGGATTCAGACAGTGGTTTTGTTTCAATATCATGCGAATTTTCATCATAACTTGTATCCAACCCATTCTCAGGACTGTGTGAATGTTCATTTGCACTTAAATCCAAGTTGTTCATAATCTGGTCCATAGGTTCATTCTGGTCCACAGGTGCAGATATTCCACTATAATCATAGTGCAAAACTTCATAATCATAAGCCTGAGTTTGAACTTCCTCTTGGTGGAACTCCCCCCGAAGTGCAGACTTAGACGAGAAATACATATAATCTTCATGAAAAACAACATCTAGTGTAATATGCATGGCCCTTGTGGGAGGATGGCAACAACAGTAACCTTTTGGATGTGATGCATATCCTAAGAAAACACAACGTAATGCTCTAGGCTCCAATTTACTCCATTGATGTTTATGAAGATGTACAAATGCCACACACCCGAAAACACGAGATTATAGATTAGAAACGATGGGAGTGTTGGTAACATCTTGGAGAGCTTGAAATGGTGTTTGAAACTTGACAGTGTTGAAGGGGACACGATTAATGAGGTATGCAGCTAAGGCAAGAGCATTACCCCAATATGATACAAGCATATGAGAGTCAATGAGGAAAGCACAAACAACT